AAAATCTTACCAACCCCAAACTTTTGAACAGTATGTATGTTCATCTTGAGGCTTCCTTCCTTTTCTCTTCCTTTCGCTCGCCTTTCCCCTCAATTTTCTCCACCTTCCTAATGTGTGTCATCCATTTAGAATAAACTGCAGACTTCAGTGGCTCAGCACTTTCTCCCTCCCTCTCATTCTACCTCGCTCTCTCTGTCTTTCTACACTCCCATAGATGTTTACATATTGAGCATTATGCTAATTACCTCTACCCAGCTCTGTCTTCCTTCTTATTCTTTCCCCACTTCCGTTACGTTCTGTTTTCTTTTTTCTTTTTTTCACTCCAATCTTCCCTTCCAAGTCCCTAAGGAGCAGATTACAGTTGATGCTCTTGCCATAGAGAGCAGCCTGGTAATGCCTGGAATGGATTTGGAAGCCCAGGCAGTTAGAAAAAGTATTTGGACTTTCCTGAACTAAATCTCTGCCTTAATAGCATCTTCTTGAAGCTACATTTTGTCAGGGAAGATAGTGTGAGTGGGTTTCTCTGTGTATACAGTATATGTGGTTTGTGACCTGTACGGAAGTGTCCCTGAGCTAAGGACACACTTATAAAGTCTTAATCAGAAGAGTCTCTCCCTAGGCGCAATGATCAACCTCTCAAGGGACTGTGTGCTCAGTGGACATATTTGAGGAGAAATTAACCTGGATTCGGTCTTTGGCGTGTTCCACTGAGACTTCCCAGAGAAGTATTCACTCCCTAATCTCTCTGACAGACACAGTCTGCGTCTGAAGATTTTAAACCTTTAAATCTGTTCCAGTCTTTGCATGAAATACAGATGACTTTTAATATGTTTGAGCGAGTGAGAGAGATAAAGAGAGAGGAGAGACTTTCTTCATAATAGCATACAGTATACTACAGCACTCATGGGACTTTTTGTTATTTTATTTTATTTTTTTTTTTATATTTAATTAACATTTTTGTGTATGTATTGGCAGTAATTATAGATATTCATATTTAAAGTGAGGAAAATGCAGTTTTTCAAGTATTTGTGGATTATGTTTTTTTTTTTTTTTATGTATATTTGTTATGTTTGCATAGACACTGAAAAGTTCATTATTGACAGAATCTACAACAATTTGCTTATTACAAACGTACAGCTTGTCACTTTACAAGACATTAATTGATGGACTGGAGTTATTTGAATGACTTATGGATTATTGTGATGTTTATATCAGCTGTTTGGACTCTCATTTTGACGACACCCATTCACTGCAGAGGATCCATTGATGAGAAAGTGATGTGATGCTAAATTTCTCCAAATCTGTTCTGATAAAGAAACAAAGTGTACATCTTGGATGTAGGTCATTTAAGTGTAAGTGAATTTTCTGCAGATTTTCATTTTGGGTGAACTATTCCTTTAAAATGTATTAGTATATTTCACAATAAAGGAGTCTAATTGGGATAGGAGCTCATAAAATGGTAAATAAATAGTACAATAGTACATAAATACATGTACATAAATACCTTTATGGTTTAGACTCAGTCAATATACCAAAATGCATAAACATTAAAGTGACATGGCGTGTGGCCAAGTATGGTGTTCCATGGTGCTCTGCATCACTAATCACAGCAGTGAGTATAGTGAACACACACCCAGAGCAGTGGGCAGCTATTTTCGCCCGGGGAGCAGTTGGGGGTTCAAATGCCTTGCTCTAGGGCAGGGGTAGGCAAGTTCCTCAGTCATGGTATTGAAGGTGGAAGAGAGCGCTGGTCATTCACTCCCCCCAATCCCAGCCGGTACCGAGACTCGGGCCCTCAACCTTTGGGTTGCAAGTCAGGCTCTCTAACCATCAGGCCATGACTGCCCCTGAACAGTGGCTTCAAAACTGCAGGCAGGCTCGTCCAGGATATGAACCCGGGACCTCTCGCACCTGAAGAGAGAATCATACCCTAGACCAGTGGTTTTCAATCCTGTTCCTCGGGACCCACTGCTCTGCTCATTTTGCATGTCTCCCTTATCTGACACAATCATTTGAGTTCATGGAGCTCTTTCCTAATGACCTGATGATCTGAATCAGGTGTGTAAATTAGGGAGGCATGCAAAAATGTGAAGAGCTGTGGGTCCCCAGGAACAAGTTTGAAAACCACTGCCCTAGACCAACGAGGTACACGTATTATATATACGTAAATACTAATTAGATCAGTCTGATTTTTTATTAGCTGGAAATGTTTCCTACCAGCACTATTCAATACTGAATTAAAAATGTTTAAATGCAGTTTTTCTTGCGACTCTGTTTGCCATCTTGAAGGAGATTTATTTGTCAAACGTCACGGTGAACTATGAAAGATACATGCACAGCTGCCTCACAGCAGTTACATACCTGTGATGTCTGAAATTGCTATCTAGGTAGGAATCTCCCTAGGTTTTGACACAGAGTCTATCTATCTGTTTGGAACTTTTGGTAAATTATTGGACTGAATTAGATGCTTGAGATGTGTATGAATGTTTGTGTCTTACTGCTTTATAATGCATTTTGCAATCTACGGTATATACTGTAGTCATGAAGTCTATATAACAGCAGGAGTGTAGTGCTGTATTTTAACAGACTGATTCAAATGGAATAGGTCTGTCCTCTCTGCCAGTGCAGTCTCCATCCTTCACTGGACATGCACTATTAAAATTAAAGCATTCACATGTGCCAAAAAAGAAATACGCTCGTTTATGCCCTACCCTTGAGTAAGGCCCAAAATTTCCTCAAAGACATCACAAAGACTGCAGCAGTAACTTTTTGGTGTACAGACCCACATATACATACACATAGACACAATTGTTTTGTTCAATAACTGTGATAACTTTCTATTGTTTTCAATTGTTTTTGTACTGAGCTAATGATATTTGTTAGATCTCTCCCTAAACCTAATCCCTTGCAGAAACTTTTTATTTTATTTTATTTTATTTTATTTTATTTTATTTTATTTTATTTTATTTTCGCTTAGCTTAGCTTAGCTTAGCTTAGCTTAGTTTAGTTGAGCTCAGTTTAGTTTAGTTTAGTTTAGTTTAGTTTAGTTTAGTTTAGTTCAGCGTACACAACCTGACAAATTTGAGATGATGATACAAAGGAAAAAACTGACAAAAAGCACACCTCAGATTCTCTGGGGTCTCAGTTGAGTCTAATCACCTCTGACTCTAACTGGACAACCTGGTTACATCATGTTAGTGGTTTTGACAGTAAATAAATGGCTGCATGTAACTGTTCACGTTGTGGTCATCTCTTAGTCCTCTACCTTTGTCCTTTCCCAGATGTTTTGCTTGTCTTAGTCGACTCGTCTCTGTCCAACATCACCACTGGATGTTATAGTCATAACTCTGATGATTAAAATGGCTTTGACTCTGTGCCTAGAAAGAAAATCCTCCACCGAATCAATAAGTGTGCTGGCGGCAGAGCAACACGCAAATAGAGGCGTCACAAGCCATGACTAATTCAAACTTGCTGTGGGTTATAAAACCTTATTATAACACTCATTTGAATTAGGCTGCTGGTGAAGGGATCAGAGTCCCATTCAACCTGTGTGCATACTGCTGCTGCTCAGCCAGCTAAATGTTTCCCCACTGAACTGAGGCACAGAAGGAGAAAAGGAAGAGAGGGGTATTAAAATCAGTATTCACAGCGTGTGTTTTAAAAGGTGTTTTTAGAGCATTCCTGTCCTTTAAAAAGTGGCAAAAAGCTGCTGACGCAAGTCAGTTTCCTGGTTTTCTGTCCAAGTTGAATTAATTTTATTTTTATCAGCTCAGACATGAATATGAGGGGAAATGTGATGAATTAAGTGTGAAAAAGGGAGAGGAATAGAGGTGGGGCAAAAAAATAAAGTGAGTAATTTATTTTGTATTCCAGGTAACATCTGAGAGACAGATGTGGGACAGTTTAAGACTGATGGTGGCAAGCAGAATTTCTTTTTAATATACCTTTTCCTTGCTTAATACACCAGGGTTAAGAAAAACATCTATCTATCTATCTATCTATCTACCTATCTATCTATCTATCTATCTATCTATCGGTCTATCGGTCTATCATGCTATCTATCTATTGTTCTATTGTTTGTTCTATCGTTCGCTCTATCGTTCTGTCTATCGTTCTATCTGTTGTTCTATCTATCTATCTTTCTATTGATATTTCTATATAACATTCTGTCATTCTTTCTGGAAGGCCTATAAACCTTTTATAAGGTCTATACATTTTTTTGACAAACTTTGGTTTTCTAGGTAAAGAATTATAATAGTGAACTTTGCATTTTAATTGTAATACTTTGCAAAATTTTAATTGCAGTTCTGCATCCTGTTTGCTTCCTCAATTCAAATTCAGGAACCGAATTGGAATTTAGAAAAGGGATTGTCAGTTACATTTTGAATTGCACAAACCCCTGATATAGACATGCATAAAACAGAATCATATTGCCCTTCAATTCTTTAATTGGAACTGTGAGTCTTTTAGTTGTCTCTATGTTTGTAGCATTTATGTAAGTTCACAATATTGTGTTCATATCTGTTAGTTTAAGTGGCATGTTTGTTTGTGCTTGTGGTACAGAGTGTAAATAAGGACTCTCCCTCCCTCCCTCCCTCTCTCTCCCTCCCTCTCTCTCTCTCTCCCTCCCTCCCTCTCTCTCTCCCTCTCTCTCTCTCTCTCCCTCTCTGTCTCCCTCTCTGTCTGTCTCTTCTGTCGCTTTAAGGAAGCATAAGGCAGGTTTAAGTTTTTAACGCTCCAGACCACAACAGCAGCCATTGAGAGAGAGAGAGAGAAAGAACAGAAGAGGGGGAGGGAATAGAGGAATGAGAGAGGTGGGTGTGAGGACAAGAAGAGAAGGAGGGATTTTGAGTGATCGGAAAAGATGGGTTCTGACAGAGAGGGAGGGCAGAAAAAGGTAAGGGGAGGGTTTACAAAGAGATGGAAAGAGAGAACGAGGGAGTAAAGCAAAGCATGTTGCCAGTGTTGGCTCTGGAACTCACTGTGAGCGGGGACGGGAGGGAGGGAGAGCAAAAGAGAGACTTAGAGTCACACATTCACACACTCTCTCAATCACTCTCATACACACACACATAAACTCTTACATTCTCGCACAGATTCAGAGGTGCCTTGCTGAAGAGACTCTGTTACGCACACCTGCAGGGGTGAGAATATTTTAAGCAGTGAATACTGGACTAAAACAGAATACCGGAGCACTGGGACAGACTCGACAGCACCTAGGGACTTTCTTCAAACGGGACCTTTACAGCATGTGAAGCCGGACGAACAGATATGTGCACCATCTATCCTTAACATTCCTTCATTTCATCCCTCCATCTGTGCCTCCCTCCCACCTCTCCTCTCAAGTGGTGTGAAGGACACGGAGCTACGAGTTCCTCAGTGCTCTCTGCCTGGTTGCCTTACGGGAGTCTGGGGGAGGCTTGGTGCTCCCCTTCGCTCTCCTGCGCTCTCACTCGTTCATGAATGTCACCTCTATCTGCGGAAGCCCTTGCAATTTACAAACACTCTCTCGGGAGCTTGGGGAGAGGGAGCAAAGGGGAATGTAAGAAGGGCTGAGGAAGAAGAGAACTTCTGATTCCTTTCATCCTTATCCATCTGATCATCCACAGACATGAGTTCCAGGGTTGACGACACCAGTTTTTGACTTTTACTTAGTATGTCTGTCTTTGTTTTTTTTTTGTTTTTTTTGCAGTCATAGTGTCATAAATGCAATACTTCGGAATCAGGTAATGGAGTTTTACTAAGATTGTCTCAGGATATTGATCCTTTTCTCAGTAGGATCTGTATTTTAGTTTGTTTTATGCATCCATCGATCTTCTCCGTTTTACGAGGATCGCACTGATATGTTCCATATTTACACCTTTTTTCTGAACTTGCAGAATGATTTCTGATCTGTGAGATTTCTGAAGATCAATCCCACACTAAACTGTGGAAGGGAAGTGAGATACCAGGGCTTTTGGGAGCTCGGAGCTTCAGGGAATAGAGTCAAACAGAGGGTATGGTGGTGCTGTGATGGCTCACTTATCTTCCAGAATTCCAGTATGGCTCCATGGATCATCTGATGCCACTTGTCCTGTCCATATGCTGTGCAACGAGACCTGAAATACAACAAACAATCCCAACAACGACAGCTGCCATTCATCACAATCACAACACCAGGAATTCTGCATTCCAGGGACTATTTTGATAGCCAAAGAAACAAATAAAGTTTATTGTGAACTTCACAAGTGTTTTGCCCCACCCCCTTTACCCCTCTAAAACCAAGCCCCTTTTTGTTCCCTATCAAGTTGTGACTCATTCTCCCCTTGGTTATTGTGGGAGACCCTGCTGTACTCCGAACATCTACAGACTCCTGCTCCTGTCCTCCGTGGCCCTGGAGGATCGGACAGGTGGGTGGCCCACTGACGCCCTCTGCGCCCTACGGGTGAGCGGGGCACAGCAAAATGGCTGCCCTCGCCAGCTCGCTGATCCGGCAGCGCAGGGAAGTCAAGGACCCCCAGGCCAACCGGCAGATTTCCACCAAACGCAAGCCTTGCCCCAAGAGCAACAAGTCGCTCTGCCAGAAACAGATCCTCATCCTCATCTCCAAAGTCCGGCTTTGCAGCAATCGAGGACGAAAACTAGAAAAAAGACCAGGTGAGTTGCCCAAAACACTTCAATCTTCAAACCTTCTGTATTCCTTGAAATACTCTTGAGTTTTGCTATATTCTAAGGACTGATCAAACAGAACGTGTTTTTTGCAGTGAGAGGCGCCTTTTTTAATTGTTTTCTATTGGCAGTGAGTGTTTTGCACGCTGTTTATGCGCCCCGGGTGCCTTGCGTTTTGGCCACCTGCTGCACCTCGCGTTTTTGACTCTGAGCGGAAAAGCGCGTAATGTCATTAACGTTTTTTTTTCCATTGTCCAATCGAATGAATGGAGAGGTGGGCCTTCCGTTGTGATGACAGAAGTTTACAGTTGCTGGGAACGTCCAGAGACTGCAATGATGGAGGAGAAACTTGTGGTGGCTGTTGCAGGTTACACGGAGCTGTATTTTTTTTCAAGTTTCTGCTAATATGACAGTTTACTTAACAGCAAACCAACGATTTTAGAGTGCTCGACTATAATCCTTCATTAGACTGACAGGACAGCTCACTGCTCTTTTCTAAATTAAAAAAAGTAAACCAAAAAAAGGCAGTGCAGTGCACCTCGCGTTTTCAAACCTGAAAAACGCGTTCTGTGTGATCGGGGCCTAAGTCTGTCGACTTCCATTGAGTTCAAATAGTGAGGGTGGCATTAGCAAATAGGATTGACATGGACATAAGAAGTAATGTCTTTGAGTTATGACATGTTAACTGATAAGTGATTGGTTTTGAAAGACCTCTGAGACCATGGTAGTTCAAAAACGAGGCTGTTTAGATCAGGGGTTTTCAACCTGTGGGGCGGTTCTAAACCCTTTTTAGGTGGGTTTCAGCCCCACTATCTGTCACCTTAGCCCCCCAAAACTATCTTAACGATCAGGCCAGTGCTGCTTCCTCGAGAAAGTTTTTCATTCTCACGTGTTTTAAGTCTTGTCAGTTTAAACCTTAAAGTAATTTTAAGCCATTTAAGCCCAAGACATCTCAATGCGGTACTCACGCACTGTGATAGAGCGTTTCTATGTGCACCGCTCACACACTTGAACAGATAGCTTTCTCAGACAGCAGGTGAATACCAATGGCTGTCTTGACAAGTATCCTTGTAAGCACAGTCGGTTGTTTTAAGTGAATGTAAACAGTAAAGAAAAAATCAAATGTACATCAGAATAATGGATCCGTGCATTTCTTATGTAAATAATGTTAATCAAAAAGAGCAAAAGAAAAATTGTTTGCTGCTCTAATAGCTTTAATGGATATTTGCTTTTATGTTAATGTTAATAAAGTAATTCGGTGTGACTACAGTAATACCAGGGGGATGGGGTTGTTGGATGTTGGGGGGGCACGAGTGAAATTAGACAAACTTGGGGGGGCGCATGTCCTAAAAGGTTAAAAACCCCTGGTTTAGATGGCATATAAAATATAGTGTCAGTCAAGGGTTATTGTTGACTATTCAGAAAGTATGACTGATCAAATCTAAACCCTTCTGGGTTCTCTTTCTTGCTGACATGACATTTAACAACTTAATCAAATCATTAACCCACCTTCAAATTCTGTATGGCTTTCTTTCTTCTGTGGAAAACAAAAGAAGCTATTTTGACAATATTCATCCTGTTTTTGTTCATACAGTAAAAGTCAGTGGTGTTCCGTGTTGTTTTGAGCCCCATTGTCTTTCACTGTATGGATAAAAACATTTGAAACATTTTTCAAAATATCTTCTTTTATTTTCAGAAGAAGAAAGAAAGTCGTACAGGTTTGGAATTGCATGAGGGTGAGTAAATTATTAATTTTAGGGTGAACTATCCCTTTAAGAATGGACATTTCCACTGTATATCATAGTGGGTATGAGTGAATGTGATCCTTGAGACTTTGAAGGTTGACTATCATCTAGTCTCTACTGAAAAGCGTGTGTCGAAATAGCAAGTTTATGTTGTCTGGGACCCAGAGCTGCACGTCGCTTTGTAATCGTTCTGATCATTTCGCTGCATGTCTATGTACTGCTATTGACAACACCTGTTAATTTACGTTCACCAACGAACCTGATACACGCTGTGATCCTTCACACGCACATAAAAATGTCACAGTCTCATTTACGATGAAAGGTTCCAGTCTTTCCCTCCCTTCTGTCCCCCCACCCACCAGTAGAAACCATGTGTTTGTGAGTGTGTTTGTGGGGGGGGTCATACGTTTGCATTATTAACCCCAAAGAGATGTTACCCTGTCTGAATAATCATTCAACTGAAGAGCCAGGTAACATAGGACTGGTGGCTTATATTTTAAGATATCATGGGAGAACAGATAGAACAGAATCACATCAGACTGTTTTTGTGTGTGTCTTAATATTTCCTGAAAGATCACCTAAGTCTTTTTTTCTTTATTGACTACAGTCAAGTTAGCTTTATGAAAACTGCATTTCATATAAATGTTTTTATTCATAAAACAAAAGCAAAATTTTGCCCCATATACATATATTCATTAATTTTCAGAAACATGCACAAATTTATAAAACATCAAACTGTTTATGCCATTAAAAGCATGGGGGACTGTAGAGTTTTATAAAGTGGATAATTGCTAACTGAAATGTACATTTATCCAAAGTGACTATCCAAAGCATTTTATCTTTAGAGGCACAATATTAAGTATAAGCTACATTAGTATACATTATCAGGCAGAAGTGAAATGCACTCTGAAAATGCAGAGGAGAAAGAGAGAACTATTTATTTTTTTATTTTATGTAATATCATTATTATATTTAATTTAAATATGAGGTATAGGAAGTACTGTAGCGTCTGCGTAGAATCATGCATGATCTTTGGGTTACCTGAGCGCGCGCGTCCGGGTTTTGTGCGATAGCAAAGGAAATCCACGCGCGAGCGGAGAGATCCGCGCTCGCGCATTGTATTAATGTGCTTTCGCGCTACAATAATGCGCTCTCGACATTTGTCGTTAAAATAACGCCATAAATGAATGTTTTGAACCCTTGCTACATATGTTAAATTACTGCTAGCACTGCATGAATAAGGAAAGTATTCTTCCTTGGCCAGGAAAATAATCTTTCTTTGAATTGATAAATGATTATTTTGTCTGCTCGGTGGACGGACAGATCAAGTAATGGTAATATTGATTCTGCTACAGTTAATTCGAAGATCTAATCTAAATATTTATTATTAATCATAACCAGTTATAATTAGTCATAAATATTTCCCTTTTGAGCTGATTTACTACAGTACTTTTGTTTATGGTTGAATAAATGTGATTTTGCAGTATGAATTTGACTTCATGACCCCTCTGGCTTTCTGGTTAAAAGATGGGAAGGGATTACCCAGTAAATGGGTAATAAAAAAAAGAAACTTTATTTTTTAATGCAAAGTACAATACTTTGCATGGCCTGAAGGAACATTGAATGTAGATTTTTAAAATAGAATAGTGAGCTCCCCATGGCACATTTCAAACAGAGATAGTAACGGTCTAAAGAACTGCCTATGAATATTTGCATTTGTGCTTATGTTGCTTATGTAGAAGTACAGGTGAGACCTGGGTTGTATTTCTCACTGGGGCAGATTTTGGACCAGATTATGGACTAGACCAGTGGGTGCCATGCATACTTGGAATTCAATGAGATTTCTATTCTGATTGTTGAAATTCATTACAAAATATGTTGAGAAAATATTAGGTAAATAAAACTAAAATGGTAAAGTGTTATTTATAATGGTGATTTTTAATCAAATTAATGATAATCCTGTAAGTGGTGGTTGAGCCTTGCTGATGGGACTTTGTGGATACATAAGACAAGAAAAGTTGGGAAATACTGAGCTAGATTCAGTCATTCACAAATCCACTCTCCTGAGGGTCCCATTCTTTCTTAGGGCCCAGCTGTGCACGTGTCACCAGGGTGGGATCTTTATGACGTGTATCCCAAGTTAATCACAGTAATCACCATGGAAACCATAGTCCCGTAACACGGCATCTGCTGCCGCAAAGTGCCTCACGCCAAGTGGTAATTACAACTATGAAAAATGGTGGCAGTTGGTGGTATTTGACGCAGTAAAGGAAGAAATGTTTTCTGTCATTTTGGGGTGTATGTATAGCTTGGGCTGCTGCAGTAAAGCTCACATCCTATGCTTTTGTTATGTTAACGATGACTGGATGATTTTGCCTGCCTTTTGATAGAAAGGATCAGAGAGAGAGCACTTATATAGTGTTGGCTTCTCAAAAGCACGCTTTTGCCTGTCAACACAAAACTAGAGAGGGAGCTGCTTAGTACATAGAGTGCTGTCTGCTTCTGTAGTTCCCTTTCCTTCTCTGATTCTGAATAAGAGTATCTTACACAAACTTTAAATCATCTTACTTTTTATTTTTGCTGTCTTTTTCTGTCTTATTCTTGCTTATATCTCTCATGCTGCAAATGGGTTGACCGTTAAATACAGTTTAACTTGATTAAATAATTAGCTGTTAGGATAAAATGCTGGCTTAGAGGAAAGATTCTAGTTTTAATGCAAGGGGTGAAATTGATAGACATTTCTACATGATGTATATCATTAAATGTGGCACATTTTGATTTAGTCCACATTTTAATTTTTGGTCCTAATGTAATGTAATGTAATAAATATATAATATAATATAATATAATATAATATAATATAATATAATATAATATAATATAATATAATATAATATAATAAATTTGTCACTTTTAAATAGTGAGTGGGATTTTAATCAGCAAACTTGAAGGAAACTGTAATGATGCAAAGTGTCCTAATCAGAGACTGAACACACACACATACATTTTTCACCCACAGGACAAGCTAAACATGATGTTTGTGTAAAGGTTATCCTTTTATCTCAAGAGTGTGTGTGTGTGTGTGTGTGTGTGGCAATTGATAACGGATGTTTGTATGCGTTGTGGTGTTTGCAGATCGTTGGAGCACTTCATTGTTACTGGGTGATTCATTCGTCCACACAGTCTGCCACTTATTAACACCTTCTGATTCATCAATAACACTCTCCTGTCCTGCTCTCCTCT